CTGTATTYATAACGGGGATGATATTGTAGTAGCTATTCCACCTTAGAAGAGTTGTGAGAAGTAAGACACGATGTGTAAATCTTTAATAAATATTATTTTTGTTGTTGTTGTTTGTTTTGGGAACAGTTCCAGTAACTCTGAAATGCTGTAATAGTCCCTGTCATTATTTTTTTTTCTAAAAATTTCAAAGATTTCTTGGCCATGCTCACACCTTAATTTTTCTATTTACGTTGAATTTCAATTCATCAAACTCTGAGAAAAACATGAAAGCCCAATAAAGATTTCAAATGATAGTGCATTAGATTTATATATTAAATGGGGGAAATTTGACATCTTAGAAAATTGAATCTTTTCATCTACAATGTAACATTTATTTAGGTTTTGTTTTATGCTCTTTAATTACATTGAGGCCGAAGAATTGATTTTCCCAGCTTTCCCCTTGCTATCCTTGGCACTGGCTCTCCTCCCTCAGAACAGGCAGAGGCAGCTTCAGAATTTCATTAACACTTTGAGATATTGTTTCTTTTTAAGTCATTCAAACAGCCTYGTGAGGGGAGATGGGGCATTTTGATCTCATAGATGGGGATTGTAAAAGGAAGGAACAAAGGAAAGTAATAGTTTCAAACACCTATGTATCAAATGTTTATATTTTTAATTAATCTTAGGCAGGTCTACTATCCCTATTTTTCATACAAGGAAACTGACGTTGAGAGAAGTGAAATCAGTGTGGCCACAGCACACAATTAATGAAGGGAAAGAGCTCAAACCCTGGAATTGGGACCTCCTGATCAGATGTTCTAAAAGACAGTGGCCACTACTCCCCTGATTGTGCTGTCTCATCCTCTGCATTTGTCATTTATCTAAATAAAGTTGATTCCAGACAAATTGGTCTGGTTTTGGGGGCAAGCWGCCCTTCCCAAGTTTAGTTTTTGAACCTATCAGAATGGCAGTGCTTCCCAGGAGTCCACCAAGAGTGCTTGTCTTTCTGTTTCATTGAACATGGTCTGGGTGCCCAGAGGCCTAGTTGTGGACAGTACCTAGCAGGAACCCTGGGTAGAAGGAAAATTGACAAAGGTCCCCAATTTTCTCATACTCTTGAGTCTTTCTGTTATTATTATTATTATTATTATTATTATTATTATTATTTTGGTACCAGGGATTGAACCCAGGAGCCACATCCCCAGCCCTTTTTAAACATATTTTACTTAGAGACAGGGTCTCACTGAGTTGTTTAGAGCCTTGCTAAGCCACTGAGGCTGGCTTTGAACTTGCAATCCTCCTGCCTCAACTTCYGGAGCCTCTGGGATTGCATGTGTCACGGCACCCGGTGGGAACTTCCATTATTAATAAGGGATGAGAATGAGAGTGACTAGGAACAGGTGTTTGATCTGGACTTTCCTTCCCACTAGGCATCCTCAGCCAGGAAAGAGCCTTTCTCCTAGCACAGCTGCCCTGGCCGTCAGCAGGGGTGTCTGATGCCCTATTGTTCCTGAGTATGTACACTGCAAGGTTCCATCACTTGCCCTTTTGTCATTTTTGCAGAAACAAAGTATCAAATGCTYGTCTTTCTGTTTTTCACAGTGGACACTTGAGTGAGGAGGCAGAATTTTAATCTCCTCCCCGATTCTTCTTATGTATGTATGTGAATGCACATTTATTGCCTCTCTAATATTTCAATGGAATGGCTCCTGCTGCAGGATCCTGGCTCTGAGAAGGACCCCAGGAGGCCACCTGTCCCAGTGTCTGCTGGCTTCAGTTTCACTTGAAGAAACTGTTTCATATATTGAGACTTTGAGTAATATTTCATTAGATAAAAATACTTTTTTAAGAGGGAAGGAATTCCAGAGGTGCACATATATGCATTCTGCTTACTTTCCTAGATTGTTTGGATGGTGATAATTTGGGGTGAAGGCAGATCTGAATGACTGTGAGGACACTGGAAATAGGATTTATGTCTTGGAAACTCAGCAAGTATTTCTAGAGCACCCATCCTGCCAAGGATGTCGCACAGCTCCATAATGGCACTCCCTRGAGTTGAACAATGCAATGACCTCACGTGACCCTGTGTATAACTAACTATATTAGATGCCCTTTGATAGGGGTACAAGGTGGTAAGAGAGAAAATAGTTCAGGACTCTGCTCTTGGAGTGGATTATGACATATTTAAAGAAACAGTCCCTAGTTGTTAAGTTTTTTTTTTTTTTTTTTTTTTTTTGGCGAGGGGAGGGTGGTCAATACATAGCAGCACCCTGCACATGTCAGAACCCATCAAGATATAAGAATCAGGCAAATAGAGGTTGAAATATCACTTTTGTGACAAATAAAGCTGATCCTGGAGAGCACAGTTTATATCTATGAGCAAGAGAGTTTCTAAAAGTGAACCCTTCAATCTTAATTACCCACCTGTCTCAGGTAGCACTGGAGAACTGCAGGCTTCTCCTCCCACTAGCTATCACCGCTGCCCCTTGCTTTTCCTCCTAACATGTATAGCATGGGGGAGCATGCTGTTCTGAGTTACATGTCCAGTTCTTTCCAAGTCCACGGGAAAAGACTTGACTGTTACATTCAAAGATGTCCCCCGCCCACCACAGGGAAATACCCTATCAAAGAAAAGGAAATTCCTACCCTCAACAAGCCCCCTTGATGAACTCAAATTGAACTCTATGGTAATACATACCAATTGTATGAATTTTGGGTACTAGATATATWTTTAGATATGGAAGTGGAATGATCAGAGTAGTACATGTTTAATCAGGGAACATTCCTGGAAAAGGCAATGGGCACACTTTCATGGAGAGAGGCATACAATATGAACAGATTGACCTGTTGAACTGGGTAGAGTTCATGATGAACTTGAACTGTGGAAAAATGAAAAAGGCCTGCTAAAATGGCTAATATGGTGGCGTTCAAGATCTCAGAGATGTGGGTTAGCATCATCGACTGYAATAGCTGAAATATGAAGATTAGATGGAATAGTTCCAAATGAACAAGTTCCTGGGCATCTGGCCCAGATGGTGTGGTGTCATGCAGTAGATGGGCCATCTGACTTCATCTGAGAAGGGGATGGTACTGGGGACTTTAGCAAGATGACGCTCTTGGTAATAGACATGATGAGTGGTGCTCCTCTCATTGGATTTGTTACTAGTTTGATAAATTAGAAATGTTTTCATCTGAAAAATAACTACCTAAAAATTTTGAAACAAAAAGAAAATGGTTTTCTGGTTTGTTTCCTTTTTGTTTTACCAGCTAGGATACAACTGAAAGCTGTGAGTRTGTGGGCTCAATTGCCGTGATGCTTTCTTTTGGGCTTTCTGTTGCTTTTTTTGAAAATGGTTTWAAATCCCACAGATTCTGAGGAGGGGATTGGGAGAAATAATAACAGACCTTCCAAGAACAGTAAATAATTCAAAGGTCATATGTTTTGTTTTTGATCTTGAAATGCCATGTGTAATTTTTATATGGTAGATTTTTTCTTTCAAAACATGTTTTTCTTACAATGACATTACAGTCTGTTGGTTGTCACAGAACACCTAGTAACTGACAGCTAAAATTACGCAAAGAAAAATGAAAGAAGATTTAAGGCAACCATGAATGAATACACACACACACACACACACAYAYACACACACACAATCAAGATTTAAGAGAATACATTTCCATTGGATCTATTTTCTGCCTCTTTATACATTTTAGGGTTATTCATACTTCCTTATGAATAAATGGTATATCCAAATCTGTAAGCTAGTTATAGTCAGAGAAGTTCAGGAAACCTTCAGGGTGTCTATTTTCATCTCCAAGATTCAATGAGTTGTCTGTTCTGTATCTCATACTATGAAATAATCTATGGGAAATGTTAGCACAATGCCTGGAACACAGGAAACTCTCTAACACTTAACATCATGGGGAAATATTACTAGGCTTTAATTTGAAAATTGAAATAAATAGTATGTCAGATATTATCTCTTGTATACAAATTCAACAAATAGTTACTAATTTCATCTTATATGCCAGATGCTATTTTGGGAACTTGGATGCAGGAACTAGATAGGGAGGAACATACCACGGCTCTGTGTCTTATTTAATTGAGTATCACAGAATATATTGGTGCTTCTTGCTGTGTTGTCCTCTATGGACAGAAAGGGTTTATTTTTCCTATTTTTTTTTTTTTTGAAGCAAGAGAAGCACTATGAAGATACTTGGTCATAGCTACCTGACACAGTGCCTAAGAAGTCAGTGAAATGAACTCTGCCCATCTCCTTCTATGGCTATGGACATAAAGAAGAAGAGCTTGTTTATCCCCACATTAGCTCAGGAACAAGGATTGAATTTTAAACATTCACTAAGGCACTAATATGATCATAGTCCAACTTGTAATGTTTCCTTTCTGGGAGGCTTTGCTAGGGAAATCATCATAGTCTTCCTTTCCTTCTTCAATTTCTTGTCACTTGCCATCATAGTGAACCTTTGGGATTTTTATTTTAGGGAGAAGAACTTAGAAATATAGTTTCTAACCCGTGATTGAATAATGTGAGCAAAGTTGATGGATTTGCAAACTGGACTTTGACCCTGGGGCCCCTTAGCAATGGACAGAGTTTGAAATTCAAGTTCGTAGGGTCTGCAGGCCATGGTTGGCAGTACCCTTCTTGGCCTGCACTTTTTAATGTCTCCTATGTGGTCTAAGGTAAGTAGTTAGGTCTCCTTACTAAGTTTCTTCTCTATGATCAGATGAGGTTTTCAACCTATTTCCTGTTTTACAAGGGTTAAGAGATTTGTACTTACAAAGTTATTTGACCAGAAGAAAATCCCCACTGTGTTGTCACTAAGAAAGATTTTATTCCAGCAAGGAAAGAATTAATGGTGTAATACATCAGTACCTGAAGGAATGAGACCATTTAAAAAAATGAATTAATATTTGTACCTATTCATTCCTAAGTCTTTGCTTCCATAGTCCCTCAAATGAGAATGCAAATTACTGACCAACCTTTTAATATTCCTTTCAGGGACACCTGTGTGGTTCTTTGTGAAAATTGCTCCAATTCGAAACGAACAGGATAAAGTGGTTTTATTTCTTTGCACTTTCAGTGACATAACTGCTTTCAAACAGCCGATTGAGGATGATTCATGTAAAGGTTTGTAATTCTGATTTGTACAAATACATTTATACCTTTTTTTATTTTCTCGCCTTGAGTGTAACTTTTGCTACAGAGAATTTGAGGTTGTCAAGGCAATCTCTGCACAAAGATCAAGATTTAAACTTTAATTTGTGTCTAGTAAGGTACTGTGCCATTCTACAATGTATTGGGGAAAGAAAGAGAGAGGAAAAATTGTTTCAAGTGAAGTATTTGATCAATTTCATACCTTCTAGAATGAACTCTTTCCGATTATGATTAGACAGAAGAAAGCAATTGACAAACCCAGTATCATCAGAATCTTTTTAGGTTTTAACATGACAAATGTCAGTCAACCAAATGGGACAGTCCAAGGCTATATTCTTCTGATTTATATACAGATTTCCTTAGATTTGACTGAATTCTAGCACTTTAGGATTGTTGCACCTGATGTTAGCACATCTTTACTTCTGTGATCAATTGAATTAAGTCTGTGGCCAGTTAATTCATTTTAGAACATGGCATTATGAGGTCAGGGTGTTGAGGAACGTTTTCAAAGGGGTCATTAAATCAGCTCGAGACCACAGATTTTGTTTATATTGTATGCATGGGTTGTTTGAATTACGTTGGAGGCCTAGAAAAGGAGATGGCCRATTTTTTGAAACCATCATATCCCTGAAGAGGTCCAGCTCATGGGATCAACAAAAGATATCATGCTGTTCCCAGAGGTTTGGGATCAGSGAGTGCTATAGCACCTCCCTCCTCCACAGCTCACACTCGAGGTAACCAACAGACTGGAAGCTATTTCATGTGACGGGACTACCTGACTCTATGGTTGATTTTCCAGCTCTACCTGAAAACTCTGCTCCTGTGGTCTCCTGAGCTGAGCAGAGGGATGAGAGTCAAGCATCAAACTGGGGCATATTATTCTGGATATGGCAGTAGTCTCATTGTTAAGTGGGCATTACAGGAGGAAATAAAAAAAACATTATGTGGATATTCTTTCAGGGCCCGAGAGCATTTAAAATTCTGGCACATTTAGACACTCACATTTGTGGAGTTGGGAGCATAATACTGTGTATACCAATGTATCCTTAAAAAAAAAAMAAACAAACCTGTCAGCTCAATGAATCAATTTCTACTTGCCTCTTGTTTTTAGGACTCTAGCAAATGCAAAATCTCTCAACCAGTGTCTCCATCTCCATTTTCCTGTAGGTTTGTGGTTGCCCAATTTCTAGTTTCTGATTTGAATATTCCTCAGTACATTAAGTACTAAGTGGTCATAGACTCACTTGTTGTTATCATGTCGCCAAATAGAAAGACTGTTTGCTTTTTTAACCTAATAAGCTCATAAATAATTGTTTAAAGGCAATCTGATATTTTGACATTTAACTTTGCAAGTTTTCTCTTAAAAATTTAAAATATGTGATTTGGCCAAGTCAAAGTGCTTTCTTTTCATCCCTGCTGGAACATTTTTAAGTGATGTGTAAGTATTATTTAATAGAAAAGGCATATCTTATGGAGAATACTACTTACCTTCCATGTGAGTGTCTACATTTGATTCTCATAAAACCTGAAAGAAGTGATAAATCAGAGTGATACAGTGAGACTCACTTAGGTTTATTTTCCAGGAATCATATACTCTACTTCATTTAACCTGCCTCAGTGATGCATTTTGTTGATTTTAAGAATCTTGATACACTCATTCAAGCATATGCACATACACATGCATTTATTCTACTCCCTATGAGCCAAGGTATTTTTTATTTTTTTGGTTAGCTATTCTTTCTGCAATGAGCTAACATGAGTAACATGATTTCATTTGTAAATATGTTAGAATACACACACACACACACACACACACACACACACACACACCTTGCTAGTGGATCATGCTTAGTGACTCCTCAAAGCCATGACTTTATAAGACTGTCCATATGGAAGGCCATGGCAGATGTGTCCAGACCCTCCCACTTGTCATGTCACTGTGCCCCTGGCCAACACTGATTTGTTGGTTTGTTTAGGACAAACACAAATTTTATATTAGCCTGTTTATGATGGAAGAGCATGATAATTTACCAGGCCTTCTTAGTTGTAAGTCCATAAAATTTTGTTCTGGCTGCAAGAATCAACTCTAGATGGAAAATATGCTGCCATGTGGCAGGACTGTGATTGTTCTGGCTTGACATTTCTTCTTGGATGTGCTCTTCGTGGTTCATTTCCAGCTGACCCAGCTGGGTTTTCAGCACACCACCTCAGTCAGCATTAAGAGACTTAAGAGTCTTGCTGACCCATGCTTATTTAAAATTCACTTTAGGATGGACGGGAAGGGTGGATAATCTAAAACCACAGAGAATTACCAAATAATTGCTCTTTGGCATAGATGCAAGAGGTGGTTTTCTACCATCAGGTTGGTCCTTTAAGTCAATTGGGCTCATATTATCTTGAAAATGCCTTTGTTTTCTCTGATTATATAGTGCCTAACTTTGGGGGTGGGGGAGGGTGAGTGCATCCTGATAGTGTTGTAAGAAACCAGTTTGTGCCTAACATTTTCCCATAAACAACCCACAAAGGGGTAAAATATGTGATATTGAGAGTAAGATAKTTTAGCATCTGATGCAAAGTCATTCCCCTTCTATCCAGAGCCTCGGTTGCTGGTAGTGGGCCTTGGGAATGCTTTCTGAGCCCTCTCTTTGTTGATGGTTGTATCAGTTCTCAGAATGCTTTTTGTGAGCTACCCAGGTCCCTGAATTCTTCATCCTTCCTTTGCTGCCCACCTTGTGACTAATTCCCTTACTCTCTTAACWGTGCCCATGGATGGTGTGGAACAGGAAATGAAAGTCAAGCTAGGGTTGCTGTTTGGTAACAGGTGGGAATTCCTGGCCAAAATGAGAATCTGTGATGCTCTGGGGGTTTCATTGTTCCCTACTTTCTGCTTTTTCTTTGTTGGGGACGATGGRGAGTGAGCTGCAAGATGGTGTTCTCTGTCCCACTCTCCCTTCTGAACCTGACAATTGAATAGAAGAGAATCAGAGCTTTCCCCCTGTTGCTCACCAAAGGAGGTCTTCCYTCTTGTTTTCTCTCTTAATCCACCAAATAATTTCAGAGTTAAGCTATGTTTACTTTTACATTCAGAGTTAAACTTGATGCAAACACGGACAACAAATGGAGTGTAAAACTCCAGAGGAGATTTTTTAAGGGCTGGAGATTTAGAATATGTGAGGATGTGGGTTCTGGCAGCTGCTGGGGCTGCCAGCCCTTCTCCATGTGTCTTCAAGTGGGATATTTATGAGACACTCTTGGGAAAGACACCGAGTAATTGTTAAAAGTTACAGCCTCTCTGCCTTCAGTACTAACATTTTATCTGTCTGCCTTTAGGGTGGTGAAAAAGTGATGAATTAGTGGCGGCTACTTGAAGAAGCCTTCCTAGGTTTTGGCATATTTGCACATTGACAGGGAAAAGACCATGAGAGACTTAAGGACATTAGTCTGAGGTCCACACTGGTTTTATATCTGGTCTAGTGTCTACTGCTTTCTGCTGGATGTTGGATTATGACTTCAGTTTCTCTAAGATAATCTGCAACTCTAAATCTCAGGACAAACCTGGCTTCCATCTTTTCTGGGATCCCCAGACTTGCTCTCTTAGGAGCTAGAACTCTAACTTATCCCAGACCTTCCTCTTCTGGCCTAGAGAGTATATAGGGTTTATGGGATAAAGTAACCTAGTAGGTAGCTCACCCAAGTTGAAATGCAATAGCATTTCAAGGGGTCAAGGGACCAAGGCAAAGGGAACAGTCCTGCTTCCTGAGGATGGGAGACAGGACCCAGGAAATACCTTAGCTAGATTGCACACCGTGTTCCCCTCCTCCTGTCCTTCTTCTTCTTTCACTCTTCCTCTTCCCTTCATGCCCACCCCGTCTCATCTTTCCTGATCATGCAATGCTTTCAGTCTTCCCATAGCACCCACAGCCTTGCCCATGCCTAACTCTCTCATGACATTTGACAGAGTTGCAAGAACCCTGGGCCAGGAGTTTCTTCATTTGAGCTTGATTGAGTGTTGAATTCCCAAAGGGGATGCTCTAGGAGGAGTGGGTGCAGAAATGCCCGAGAAAGAGGGAGGCACAGAAATACTTCTTAAAACTTTAATAGAGTTTTTGAAACGGGCTGGTATCCTTTGGAATTCATATCTGTTGGAAGCCCAGACAGAAGTAGGGCAATGAGAAAAAAACTTGTTCCCCATCTACATTTATTCAGCACACACATTTCTGAGTGTCACTTGGGCATCTATCCTTGTGCTTGGTTCTGGATATAAGGAAGTGTCTCAGGTAGAGTCCCTATTCATTTGGAGACCTCTTGGAGGATGGACAGCCAGGTTAGCAAATAAGGATGATGAATGCTAATCAATGGTCTAATAGAAGTCTGTCTAAGGCAAGTTGGGGGGTACAACAGAGGGAGTGGACAGCTGTGCTGGGGGAGGCCAGTGTCTCGGAAAGACTTTTTTAGGGGGAGAGTACATCTGCTGCCTTATTTTCCTTCTGGAATATGATCATCTGCCTTGCTGCAAGTGTGGTCATCTGAGCAGGGTTCCCATTGGATTATCCCTTCCCAACTGGCTCTTTGGACCATAGGAGGTTCCTTTTCTCTAGGGATGATTCCTCTGATGGCTCTGTTTCAAAGGCATCTTGGTCTAACTTGTATATATTATCTTTCACCAAACCTGTTTGCTTCCCCTCCTGTGTTTTTAATGTCATCTAATGGCTGTTACCCCAATCACCCCAACCAGAAATTGAGGGATCACCTCATCTCTCACTCTCCAAACATTGTCTACAAATGTTGTTCACCAAAGTTGTATTAATTGCGCCTCTGTCACTGCTCTCGTATCTCTCCTTGTCCCCCAGCTCAGACAACAGCATTGGCCCAGCCCTGTATGACCTCTGGCCTGGAGTCCTGCCTGTCTTCTGTTAACCTTTTTTAAAAAGTCCAGTGTCCACTCTGCAGTTCTGTCCTTTTAGAATGCACGCCTCTCCCCCTCGTATTTAAACTCCTTCAGTGGTCCCCCTTGGATTTCAGAACRTAGTTCAAAGTTTTATACTTATCTTCCAGGTTCTTAACTGCCTGTGTTCTTCCTGACCTGGCCCCTGAAAACCTCTTTAGCATCACTTGAGACCCCTCTCTCAACCTCCCATGCCCTACAAGCTGTGTCCTTTTACCCAGTCATGTAGAATGTCTTACTCTTCACTAGCATCTTGCTCGATTTTATGATTTCTTCTTTTTGTAGGTGTTGTTCTTTTGTGTGGAAATTCCTTTCATAGTGGAGTCCACCTAGCTCCTGCTGGTCTTCCAAAGTTTTCCTCTAGTGTTATCTCACCCCAGAAGCCTTCCTCTACTCTCCAGCCTGGATTAGATATGCCTTCCCTGGACAATCCTGGCCATGCTGTCTCTGCTATTGAACTTTGTTGTCAGTCTTTCCTACTAAAGTACATGGTGCCTGAGGCCTGAATCTATCTTATTCGTCTTATTATCTCCAGTTACCTAGCATTGTGCTTGATACATAATAATTATGTTTATAGAATCAGTTCATGAATGAATGAATCTGTTCTTCCACCTGGTTAGGCATGATGGCTCACCATAGTCCAAAGCTGGGTGCAGGCTTCACACCTGTAAACCCAGTGCCTTGGGAGGCTGAGGCAGGAGAATTGCAAGGTTGAGGCTTGCCTCAGCAACTTAGAGAGATCCAGTGTCAAAATAAAATAAAAAAGGGCTAGGGATGTAGCTCAGTAGTAGAGTGCTTGCATAACATGCATGAGGCCTTGGGTTCAATCCCTAGTACTACAAGAAAAAGGAAGGAAGGAACAAATGAATGAATGAACGAATGAATGAACTATAGTCCAGAAAGAAAAACATGGGTTGAGAACTTGGGAGAGAACTTCTTTTTTTCTTTGTTATCCTGCTTGTCCTGGGTATTTCACACTGCCCATCCATTTCCCATCCAGCCCACACTCACTTTCCYATGCACTCCACTCAGCCAGCTAAGAGCCAGCTCCTTAAAGCACCATGTTCTTGGAAAGAGAATAAGGCTGTGCCAAAGAGAATGGGCTAGGTTGAGTCCAGGAAAATGCCCAGAGGTACAGGAATCTTTTTTTCCATACCTTTGTGGTAGTTCAACTGATAGTCCAGGGCCCTGAGTTCCCTGCCAGGAGAGATCATCATTATTCCCACAGCGTGGGTTGCTGTGGTGGTGATCATGGTGTTAGAGTAGGTACAGAGCCCAGGCAAATGTTTTCATGAGTAATTGTTTCTACCTGATTAAAAAATATGCTTTCTTCTCTTCCTGAAAAGCTTTGAAGAACTCAGTTCCAACTTCATTTTGAGCTTGACTCTGAAAGAGATTTTTTGAAAATTCCTAGTCCATGCTTCCCACAAGCACAGTTCCAGGAGARCATTAATAAATGGCACATTTGGGAGAGATGTCATAGACCCCTGCAGAGTCATGGCTGTCCTCTCCTGTTAGCATTAATGAGATCCCCACAGCCCAACTGCTATGCACCTCTTTTCAAAGTGACACTACGAGTCCTCCATTTCTGCTTCAYGGCATCAGAGTAGATGAAAGCTTTTATTAAAACCCAGTACTTCTGGAACGAGATTTAAAAAAAAAAAACAGTTGATTTAGTTATCTTGCTACACATTGGCAAATATTTACCTGGATCATGATTCTTAAAAACCATTCTTCTCCTTAATTCCATTGTCATCTGGATTCTGTCTTGGAAAGGCACTCCAGGGTAAAATTTGGAAGGTGAGATTTCTGCTGGAAGGTGCTGAATGTTTCTAAACTCTTTTAAAAAAAAATGCCTAGTTCTGCTTTTAGCTGTCTTGCAAAAATAGTTGCATGCTCTGTTTACTTGCTGTACATTACACATCTGGGTTTTTGGAGCTCCTGAAACTCAGGCTTGGTCTTGAGATCTCTGACAGGTTTTCAGAGGTCTCACAGAACAACTGCTATGGTTATAACCTTAATACGGATGGATTGCTGGGTCTTAGAATGAATGGTTATCTCTGGGGGCCTCTGACAGCAGTGATCATTGACAGATTTTCAGAAGAGACCTGTCATTGATCATCCTTCCTTCTTCCCCAAGCTGACTAAAACTGGTCAGAGTTTTTYCCCCACCTACTCAGGAGTTGAATTCGTTTTTTATTCCCCTGGTCTTGGAGAAGACCATGGAATGACTTATGATTGACTTGTTCATGTAAAACCCCAAATCAGCTCCGTTTTTTTTTTTTTCAAAATTAGACAGTATGGAGATTGGTACAGGCTGAGCCAATCTGCCAAGTCAGAGAAACTTCTGGAAGGCCTGATGTGAGCTGGTGGAAAAGCCTTAGGCCAGAGTGGAGAGATCTGAATTCTACACTTTCTCATTGTCTGGGTGCCCTGTGTCATTTTTTTTTCCCCATTTGAGAAAGGTACTAAGACCTACCTTAGCAACTTCTCAAACTTGTGATTAGGATAAGGTGAAAATTCATGGTAAAAGTAAATTGCTACACAAATCTGAGACTGTCAAGRTGCTTTTACGAGCAGCCAGTCTTGCTTGCAGGGATGAAGAGTGACTCATGGGAATTCAGAGGACATTGTGGGTGTGTTTCTGACAGTGTCACTGGTGATGTGAATGTCTGTGCTCCTTCAGGACATGGTTGAGCCTGTCTTTTTGCTCTTTCACATGTTCAGGCTGGGGGAAGTTTGCTCGGCTGACCAGAGCACTGACAAGCAGCAGGGGTGTCCTGCAGCAGCTGGCTCCCAGTGTGCAAAAGGGTGAGAACGTCCACAAGCACTCCCGCCTGGCAGAGGTAAGGGCAGTGGGAACTCTTCTCTAGTCACACTTCTTAGGGGCGTCTGGGCTAAGGAAATAGCACAAAGCTAGTGTGCTGGCTTGGAGGGGGACCTTTGGAACTCCCAGAATTTTATTGTGGCTGGGCTTCACAATGTATGACTTTGGGTAAGTGACCTAACTTGTTTGAGCTTCCTACTTTCTCATATGTAAAASCAGGCCAGAGATGGCTGTATGCCAACTCACATGAGATGATAGTTGTCAATTTTTTTATAAGTGTCAAACATTTTTGAAGGCAGAAAAAAGGAGGCAGAAGTATTTCCATATTCATGAAAGAGTTTTAACTCATAAACCACATGATGTTATTATTATAGTTGTTATTGGAGCAATACTTATGCTATTATAGGAAAAGAAGATATAATAATCAAAAAAGAAGAAAATAAAAGCCACCTGTAACCTCACTGACCTCATAGCATTTTACATTTGTGTGTGTGTGTGTGTGTGTGTGTGTGCATTTATCTCTTTCCTTTGAGTATATTCTATTTCCTAAGCACAAAGAAATTAGTTTTTTCACATGTTAATGCTTACGGTGTTGAGATGCATCTGAAAATCAATGTGCACATTGAATGAGGTCATGGTATCTTTTCTTCACTTTATATAATCAATAACCTCTTTCCAGGTTACTAAATATACTTAAAATCATTGCTTTTAATTTTTTTGTAGTTGTAGATGAACAGCATGCCTTTATTTTATTTGTTCATTTTTTTTGTGGTGCTAAGGATCAAACCCAATGCCTTTCATGTGCTAGGCAAGCACTCTGTAACTAGGCTACAGCCCCAGCCCCTAAAATGGTTGTTTTGATAACATTTGGAGAAAGGAAACTTTGTGTTGGTGTTATTTTCCTTGTTTGCTGGGACCAGTGAGAGTCTGGGAAGCCTGGAGAAGGTGTTTGATGAGGCTTAATRCAGCCATCACTATAATTTGCCATTGGTGGTGCCTGGTCTTCATTTTTCAAATGAGACCTGGGTGGAACCACTTAGGGGTTTTAAATCCTTCACACAGAGAACCTTCATCTTACCCTTATGTAATAACATCATCTGTCCTTCTGTCTGGGGATTTCTAGTCRGCCCTTGATGCATGGTTGGGTGGTGCAGCCTTTTCTGACCTGACWTCTGGCCCCCAGATTGTTCAGAGAAGAACTCCTGACATGACATGGCCACACAGCAGGTGCTTTTTTGTGGAGTGAATGGCAGTGAGTGAACTACGTTAGACCTCCTTGCAGCAGCCAGGAACTTTGGTCAACAGTAGGATGAGCATTAATTTATATCATGTTAAGAGAGAAGTACATTAGAATGATGGCAGTATGATTTTTTTTGGTCACGATGTGGGCCCAGTTTATAATAGATGCTGAAAGAGGCCTTTCAACTCACAGTCTGTACTTTCCCTGCTTCTTATTGTGGTTAATAATTGACCTTCTCTCTGGATTCTTTCCCCTTGCTTACTCTCATCCTGCCACACTGGCCTTCTTGCTATTCTTTTGTCTACACATTGGCCTTACTCCTCCCACAGATATCTGCATGACTTCTCCTTTATTGCAAGCCTTTGCCAAAATATTGTTTCCTCTATGTAGTCACTTGTACTAGTCAGGGTTCTATCAGAGAAGCAGCAGGTGGAATATTTATAGGTGAATGCCTTCTTCCTCAGGAAAACCCAGTTCTGCTTCTTTAGGCCTTTCAAATAATTGGATGAGACCTACTCAGATGGCAGATGATATTCTTTCTCCCCTGAAAGTCAAGTGATGATAGATGTTAATCACATCTATGAAATAACTTCACAGGAACATGTAGGTTAGTGTTTGCTTGACAATTGCTTATCATGACCTGGCCAAGTTGACATATGAAACATTAAATTTTACCCTTTGTCAACTTCCTACCCTTACATATTTCCTGAAGCCATATAATATAGTCAGTCTCAAGGTCATGCTTCTGCCTTGCATGATATGGTTATCCTACATACAAAGGAAAACATGCCAACCCATTCACAGAAAAGGAGGCAAAGTCCTTGGTGATCGCTCTTTTCCTTCATATATTTAAGTTTCCTTCAGAACTTAAATACTGTGATATAAAGTTAAGTATTATCAATACATCTTTTATCATATAATAAAGGGATATGAAAGAAGATAATATTACCACAAAATAAGAAACACACCTCCTAATCTTCTTCTTAGCCTGTTGAGTTTTTTCTCCACTCCAGACTTTCTAATATGCTGTACATTTATTTTATTTATTGTGTTTGTTGTTTACAGGCAAACCCTAGGCACTTAGAACCATGAATGGCCAATAGTATAGTTGCTTGGTTTATTTTATTTTTTAATTGATCAAATTCATGAAAGAAAGGAAATGATGTTAGTGTTTTTGCCTACTTGTCTGGCATAAGTAATTGTTCATTGATTCGAATATGAGGCAAAAATCTAGGTCTCATCCCAGGCGTAAGCTTTAGTTAACCTGGGTAAGGCTTATGGATTTTATTGATCTTTTCAGAGAACAAAATTTTATTTATGTTGATTTTCTCTATTGATTTCCTATTTTCAATTTCATTGCTTTCTGCTCCAATTTTTGTTACTTAATTGTAGTCTGCTTACTTTGGATTTACTTTGATTTTCTCTTTTTAGTTTCTTAAAGTAGAAGCTTAGATTATTGATTTTTAAATTTTTCTTCTCTTCTCATACATACATTCAATACTAGATATTTACCTTCTCACACTGTTTTCACTGAATACCACAAATTTTGATAAGTTGTATCTTTCTTTTCATTTAGTTAAAATATTTTTTAGTTTCTCTTGAGATTTCTTCTTCAACCCAGGCATTATTTAGAAGTGTGTTGTTTAATTGCCGAGTCTTTCTGAATTCTCTGTTTTCTCTGATTTTTAGCTGAATCCCATCATGGTCTGACAGCAGTGTTACAATTTTTATTCTTTTCTTAAGGTGTGTTTTATGGCCCAGAATGTGCTGTATCTTGGAGAGTAATCTATGTGAGCTCAAGAGAATGTGTATTCTCTGTCCCTGTAACAAAGTATCTGAGACAATTAACTAATAAAGAGAAAAGGTTTATTTTGGAGTCATGGTTCTAGAGCTCCCAGTCCATGAAGGGACAGATCCACTGGTTCTAGGCCTCTGGTGGAGGTGCTGGATGGCAATRTTGGGGATCACAGGCTGAGAAAATGGCTTACCTCATAGCCAGGAAGCAAAAGAGAATGAGAGAGGGTCTGGAGTCCCCTTCAAAGGCACACCCGCAATGACTGGAAGATCTCCCACTAGCSTTACCTCCTAAAGATTCCACTGATTTACAGTAGCACCAAGATGTTGACACATGAACCTTCAAGATCCAAGCTATTTGAGCTCTTGTGGTATGAACTTGACTGTATGTGTTTATATGTCCAGTTGCTTGATGGTGTTATTGGGTTCAACAATGTCCTTACTTATTTTCTACCTTCTGGATCAGTCCATTTCTGATAGAGGGATGTTGAAGTCTCCAACTGTAATAATGAAGTCATCTATTTCTCCTTGCAGTTTTGCCTCCCATGTTTTGATGATCTGTTGTTAGGTGCCTACGCATTAAGTATTCTTTAGGGCTTCATGGAGACTTGTCTCCTTATTATTATAAGGCCCCTCTTTCTCCTTGATAAGTGTACTTGCTCTAAGTCTGGTCTGCTGGACATTAACAGACATACTTTTGCTTTCTTTTGATTAGTATTAGCATGTTTCTTTCTCTATTTCTTTACTTTTAATCTCTATGTGTCTTCATATTGAAGTGGACATCTGTTGACAACATATGGTTAGATCTTATTTTTTTCACACACTCTGAAAAAAGTATCTTTTTTAAAAATTGGTTATTTAGGCCATTGAAGTTTAAAGTGACTGTTGATATGTATTATGTTAATATTTATGATATTTGTTACTGTTTTCTATTAATTGCCATTGATCTTTGTTCCTGTTTTATTGTCCACTATTTTTTTTTTAATAAAGCATAGCCAAAGCAATCCTTAGCAATCCCCCCTTTTTTTGGGGGGGGTGGGTGAGGGGGTACCAGAGGTTGAACTCAGGAGCACTCAACCACTGAGCCACATCCCCAGCCCTATTTTGTATTTTATTTAGAGACAGGATTTCACTGAATTACTTAGCACCTCACTTTTGCTGAGGCTAGCTTTGAACTCACATTTCTCCTGTCTCAGCTTCCAGAGCTGCTGGGACTACATGTGTACACCACCATGCCTGGCCCTGCTTTGGTTTTAATTGAGCATTTTTTATTTTATTTTTGCCCTTAAGCTATGCTTTACTTCCTCCTCATTATCCTTTTTGTTTTTTTTTGGTGGTTCCCCCTGAGTTTGCAACATTCATTTTCAMCTAGTCCATATCCACATTCAAATAACTGTGTCATGGGCAGTGAAAACACCTTATAAAAAATATCCCTCCATCCTGCTGCTTSTATCATTCTTTCATTCATTCCACTTACACATGCATTTATGCACACAATCAAACACGTTGTTGCTACTATTATTTTGATCAAATTAATCGATTAGATCCAYTAAGAATTAGAAAAATTAAAATGATTATTTTACCTTCCCTTATTCCTTCTCTAATGGTCTTCCTATCTTTATATACATCTGTGCCTGATCTGTATCATTTCCTTTTTTTCTGAAGAACTTCTTTTGCTATTCCTTCCAAGCAGTTCTGCTGGCCACAATTCTCTCTCAATTTTGTTTCAATTTTTGTCTCAATATTTGTTGGAAAGTCTTTAATTTTCTTTCACTTTTAGGAGGATTAATTTCACAGGGTGCAGAATCTCTAGGCTGTTTTCTTTTTCTGTTTGAACACTTTAAATATTTCAGTTCATTGTCATCTTCTTGGTTTCTGAGGAGGCATCAGGTATACTCCTTACTGTTTCTTTTCTGTAGATTAGGTGATATTTCCTCCTCTGATTTCTTTCAGTATGTTTTATTATGCCGGGATTCTGTTCTCGT